TGTAGGATAACTTCCATAGATTATCTCACCCTGGGCACTGTGACGAAAGCACTGAATATAGATGGTTAATTATTTGTTCTGACTGTCTGGAGGTTTCCATTTGGAGTGCTTCTTTCTGTAGCGCTGGAAGAAGGGTGGCTGTGGGTCAATACAATGTTCTTCCGCATGATGTGGAGACTGTTCCTCTTTGTGTTGTGGAGAATGAGGAGTAGCTTGTGTGCTCCTGTATTGGTTGTTCCACCATTGTGGAAATATTCTTTGAGCCATTTTGATTGTGGAAAAAGGCCTCCAGGTCACCACAGAGTTGTATGGTATATGTGGGCTTGGTGGGACAAAAGGACAGGCCCCATGAAAGGACTGATATTTCTGCTTGGCTCAGTGTGTGGCTGGATAGATTTATAATTTTGTCATGTTAAGTCTATAGGGTACCTGTTGTGGGCCAAGGGGCCTGTAGAAAGCAGATGAGACCATTTGTTTTCTTTCTTTTTCTTTGGAGAAACAAGTTGTGCATCATAGATAGATATATATTTTCATTGGGTGGAGATTATTTGTAAAGTGTCTGGTGCAGAGGGTTGGTTCTATTCATATGGTTCAAGATCTGTGATTTACTTCTGGATTTTTCTTTTTTGTATAGGATGCTAGTGGAGGGTGTTGTGTTGTTGGTTGGTTTTTTACTGGTTGAGTAATGGGGGGGAGAGTGTTGCATAACCTGTTACCATAGTTGCTTTAACAGGTTTTTCACTGTAAGTCCCTTGAGGATGAAGTCTTCGTTATTTGTATTTGGTAGGAAAGATTATGTCCCTTTGTACCTGGGCAAGTTTTTTCATGAGGCTGATGGATCGCCATTCTCTTTGGCTGGATTCAGTCCCTTTTATAGCTGTAACTATGTTTGTTTGTTCGTGCAAGCATATCAAACCGAAAAAAGAGAGTGAGACAAAAATGTTTGTGACACCTTAAATCCTGATTGCTATATTTTAATGTTAGCTTTCATGGATCAAATTCACTTCCTGAAATGTTAAAGTGAAACTATAGGATGTTCTTTAGCATTGTTTATAATCTTTATATACAGATTAGAGCACACGTGTGTAAACCGTTGAAAATATTTGAATGCAGCATACACACTCTAGAAGAACATGTTCTACAGACTAGGGGTTGGGGACCCCTGCTTTAGACCCCAAGTCTAGATATATATTTTGTACTTCTGTTATTTGGACCTTAAATCGCAATCCTTTTTAAATCTTAATATCTTAAGAATTTCACTTTTGTCATAAGGTTAGGCTGTATAAAGGCCTCTATAGGTGATACTCAGCTTGGCATTTTTTGGTACAGTGGTGCCTTGCTTGACGAGGATAATCCGTTCCAGCAAAATCGCTGTAGAACGAAATCCTCGTCAAGCGAAATGAAAAAGCCCATTGAAATGCATTGAAAACCAGTTCAATGCGTTCCAATGGACGAAATATCTCAGCGTCCCGAGAAGATCCTCCATAGGGCGGCCATTTTCCGGTGCCTGTCTTGCGAAAAAGCCTTCCTAAACACAGCAGGGAGCCATTTTAAACAGCCAATGAACACAGCGGGGAGCCATTTTAAACAGCCGATGGCCATTTTGTAACCTGACAATCAGCTGTTTTCTGATCATCCCAAAGCAAAAAATCGGTTCCCGAAGCAGGGAACCAATCATCGTAAAGCAAATTTTCCCTATCTAAACATCGTTTTGCGATTGCAAAAGCGATTGCAAAAAACACATCGTTAAGCAATTTCCTTGTCTAACAAGGTAATTGTCAGGCGGGGCACGACTGTATATCTGTTGTATGATCTTTTTCCAAGTTCCTAATAAGGTTCTTCTTATTATGTGCATATTGAAACTTTTCTGCTTTTTATCTTTTTTGTACCATAAAACATGCCAACCTAACTGTAGATCATGTCCTTCAAACTTGAGTAGTCTATCATTATCTAAGATTATCCATTCCTTTATCCAGACTAATACACAGGCTCTATAATACAATGCCTAATCTGGGAGACCATAAACTGCTGTTTGTTTAGTATCCTGCATAGTTTTGATTTTAATTCTTCATTTTTTACCTTGCCAAACAAATATAATTATCTTGTTAGGTTTTTGGAAAAATGACTGTTTTAATATCACAGGAATTGTCTGAAATAAAAATAAAATTTTAGGTAGAATATTCATTTTAATGGTTGCTATTCTTCCCATCAATGACAGCTGTAATTTATCCTATCTCTCCGAGCTATTCTGTATCTCTTTAATCAATTTCATATAATTGTCTTTGAATAGTGTACTTGTTTTCTTCGTGATTTGGATTCCTAAATATCCCAACTCTCTTCTTTTCTAGAAAGTTAAACCTTTCTATTAATTTCTGTCATTCTTGGTCTCTCATATTTTTTAACAAGTATTTTTGTTTTCTTTTGATTTATTTTCATTTGTGCCATGTCACCAAAATTTAGCAGCATCTCCATTAGATGATCAGTTGAGTCCACTAGGTTCTCCAATATAATAATGAAGACATGTCCTCTTACTTTTAATTCTACATTTATTCAAATACAGTCATGTCATCTTCTTCTGGTGGCTACACAATGGTGGAGGGCAGGGTTTCACTTAACTAGGGCTTATTTTGTGGGTAGGTCTTATTTTTGGGGAAACAGAGTATGTAAATTGCTTTAATTAATTTCAAAAATCTTTCTCCCACTTGTAGCCCCTTCAGTTGCTGGAGCATAAAACTCCAGTTCAGATTATCAAAAGCTTTCTCTGCATATAAGAATATCATGGTCATTTGCTTCTCTAGGTGAACTTCATAATATTCTAAAGTATTTAAGATTATCTTTATGTTATTTTTCATCTGCCTCTTTGGAAGGAAGCCCGATTGGTTTTGATGTATTATCTGTATGAAGATTCTTTTCAATCTAGTTGCCCAAATGATTGCATATATTTTATAATCTGCGTTTAGTAATGAAATCAGTCTGTAATTTTTAATTTCTTTACCAACCGTGTTTTCCTTACGAATGAGAGAGATTGTCACTTCTGCCCACATTGGTGGTAATTCTCCCTTTCTTCAGTAAATTCTAGGAGTTTTTTATATAGTTTGAGCAATATGTTTTCCAATTTTTTGTAATATTCAGGTGGAAGTCCATCTGGGCCTGGCCATTTCCCATTTTTTTTGCTTTTTAAGGGCTTCTACAATTTCTATAAATATTAAAGGGTCATTTAAAGATTGCATTTGATCTTTGTCAGTTTCATTTTATTATGTTTCAGTAAATATTCTTTCTGAGATTCCTTATCTACTTCCTTTTTACTGTATAATTTTCCATAGAAGTCCTCTATGATCTCCTTTATTTCTTCTTGTTTAAATTCCTCAGTCCCTGCTTCATCTTTCAGTGTTTGTATTCTTGTATTCTGCTTCTCTTTCCTTAGTTTATATGCTAATTATCCCCCTGGTTTGTTTGCATTTTCAAAATAAACTTGTTTTGTGAATTTGAGCTTCTTTGCAGTTTCCTCAGTAAGCAATATATTTATCTGGTGTTGTATTAACTTTATCTTCTCCTTCAGTTCTGTGTTTGATGGATTTTGTTTCAACTGTAATTCATCTGAGGCTAATCTGTTTTTCCAAAATCTGATATTTTTTTCTTTCTCTTTTTTATTTTGTTGCAAATCTTATGGCTGCCCCTCTCAAAAATTCCTTACTTGCCTCCCAAACCATTGTCATTGGTGTTTCCAGCCTCGTGTTCTCTTTGGAAAAAAAAGGTCCATATCTCATTTTATTTGCTTGATAAACTCCTCATTCTTTAAATGCAAAGTATTGAGCCTCCAACAAAATTCTCTTGCTTTGCTACCCAATTATAATGAAATGGGATTATGATCTGCAAATGTATTAGTCAAAATATCTATTTGTTCCATTTCTTTCATTAAGCTTGCTGAGATCCAACATGTATCAATTCTTGACCATGATTTATGTCTATTGGAATAAAAAGTATGATGTTTTGTATTTGGGTATTGTGTCCTCCAGGCATCTATAATATTTACTTCTTCTGCCAATTGTAGAACATTTCTTAAAATCGTTCCTCTTTTCTTTTTTACTTTTTGTTATTTTGTTTGATTTTGTATCTAGGTCTTTGTCAAAAACAGCGTTAAAGTCCCCTATCATGCAATAGTGACCATAATCTTTGTTCATTCTAAATGTAATTGTTTTAAAAAATTGTCTTGGTTTTCATTTGTACATAAATGTTTCTAATTAACATTTTCATTGGTTCTCTTTGGATTTCCACCATCAGTATCCTTCCATTGTCTGAGGCAAAAATTAGTTTTGTTTCAAGTTCTTTCTTTTTATAGATAGCCATGCCACTCTTCCTATTACCTATGTCCGAAGCTGCAAACAATTCTGTACCCCTTACTCTATTCCTAGTTTTAAAATAAATTTTAAAAAATTAAAAAATGATCTTGGTTCTTCAAGTATTCATCCTTTTGTAGCTGTATGTATCATGCATATACAGGACAAAGGATAATAGGTATCACCAGGCCTTCAGAAGTACAGAAAGCTTTAGAAAATGCAGAACCAAAGGTAGGGTGCCAGGATAGTCTCTCTACTCCCTAGTATTTTGTTTCCATGGAATGTTGATCAACTCTTGGTTGGAGAGGGGGAATGGAAATATGAATAGAGCTAGAATGCCCCCCCCGAAAAAAAAAACAGCAACAACTCCTCACTGCAACATTTTACTGCAGGTCCTGTCTTTGTTCAGAGACTTGCTTACATAGGGAAAACTCTCTCTTTGTGCGTCTTTATGTACATTATAATGCATTGTTTACATCAAACCTATCTGAAAAATATATGTACCGTAAGATATGGGAGAAGCAAAGGGGAAAATTGAGAGTTAGTGTTTAGCGTTATTTTAAGTGTTGCCTGATAAAGGTGAAGGAATATTCATTTGGAATCCTGCCATTGAATTATTTCCTCACTTTTGAGACACGTCTTTTCCTCCCACTTTGTCCCCAGCTTCAGAAGATGGTTCACTTAAAGTCAAAGGTGAACACACTGAAAAGGAAGATGGCGTTTTGAATTCGGAGCCAATGGAAATGCGACAAAGAGAACCTGCCATCCTCTACAGCTGCCGACAGGAATATGGTGAATATGACAGCATGGAGCTAGAGAAGCATTCAGGGCCATATGACCTCATCAGACCTCCCGGTGGAAAGCTGAACTGTGACACTTGTGGACTGGGCTGCGTCAGCCTCAACGTTTTGATGGTTCACAAACGCAGCCATACAGGTAATTACTTTCAGGGCACTGCAAGCCCAAGGTCCGTGTGGAAAGCATTTGGTCTGGTAAAAGTTACCATTCCTATAAAATCTGGCAGGACACAAGATGTTGGTGTGGAATGGCATGGTTCCAGTTCCAGAAGAGTAGGGCCTTTTGCACAGAAGTACAGGGAATGTGTTGCTCTGGAAATAAGGCAGTTATTGCTGCTCAGCAGTCTAAATGTAAACTTGACTGATAAAGTATGCCATTCATTCTAATTTTGGAACAGGGGAATGAGCAAAAAATTGTGGTGTGTGTGTATGTAGAGTCTGTATAGTTCTGTTAATAGCAAATGCCCTTTCTTTCTCCTTATACATGTTCTTTTTAAGGTGAACGACCTTTCCATTGTAACCAGTGTGGGGCCTCCTTTACTCAGAAAGGCAACCTTCTTCGCCATGTTAAACTTCACACTGGAGAAAAACCATTCAAATGCCACCTTTGTAGCTACGCCTGTCAAAGAAGAGATGCACTCACTGGCCACTTAAGAACACATTCTGGTAAGTGACTTCAAAAAATGACTGATTTTAATTTAGATTGAATAGCCAGGTTTTTCATTTCTCTCACAGCTTGTTTTCCAAGCCATTTGCCATCTGCATAGCTTTGAATAATCAAATGGTACCGTGAAAATGTAAGAAAGTCAACCAACTATACAAGGTTGATGAATGTCATTGATTCTGATGTGCTACACTTTTATAATGGGGGGTGAAGTCAATTCCTCAAACATTCTTATAAGCAATGAACAGGATTTACAACTAGTCATGATAACCAATAGTGCATATTGCATTATATTTGTGGAAGTGAGACATCAGATGCTGCTTGGCTGAGCTACTGTAATTACAGGACAATGTTCAAAGGTGTAAGCATTCATAGGTGTATGTCTGTCTCTTTGTCATAGTGCCACCAATGGACATTCTACCTTGACAAGAAACGTTCTCAATTCGGCTGAGATTAATGCAGGATGTAGGGACAAGAGTAACTTTGAGGTGGACACTGAAGACTGAGAAGAGGCAAGGTGCCAAGTAGAAGAGCTAAGGGCCAAGGAATCCTGAAACAAGAAAGTTCGAGCAAGCATGCAAAGTAGATAGTGGACTAGACATCTGAGATTTTTGCAACCCTTGCTTTGATGTGATCCATCCAGTAGCACGGCTGCGGGGATGAACATGGCCATGATTTTAAAGAGTAGCTGTGTGGTCCAAACAAAATACAAATGTAAAAATAGGCAATACCTTTAAAGACCACTAAAAAAAGTCAAACTCATGAATTGTATGATGATTTTTTAGTGGTCTATAAAGATATTGCCTATTTTTGCACTATGATTTTAAGACATAGTATGTTAAAAACAAGGTTGTAAATAGCAGGGAGAAAGATAATGGAAATTTTGTTTGCTCACTCATTTCTAGTGGAGAAACCATTCAAGTGTGATTTCTGTGGAAGGAGCTATAAACAAAGAAGTTCACTGGAAGAACACAAAGAGAGATGCCGGACGTATCTGCAGAATGTTAGCCCCAATGAAGCTGGTGAGCTCTTTGATCTTAATTGGGTGCAGGAAAATTCTTAAGTTCAGGAAGCTGTTGAAACAATGTCCTGTGAGGAAATGTTCATTATGGCAATGGTCCCCAACCTTTTTGACCCCGCAGACCAGTTGGGGGGTCCGTGCACAAGGGGGCACCCTCATGCTCACAGGTGGGCAGGGCACACTTGCAGGGGGTGCTCATGCACATGTGTGGATGGGTGGGGTGCACTCGCGGGCAGGCGGGGCATCCTCGCACGCATGCATGGGTGGGTGGGGCACCTGTGTGTGCGAGTGGGCAGGCCATGCGTGCATGTGGGCATGCGTGGGGGAGTGCATGTAGGAGGGGAGCGGGAGAACTGTCTCCATGGTCTGGTTCTGCCGAGGCCACGAACTGGCACCGGGCTGCAGACTAGGGGTTGGGGACCCCTGCCTTATGACATTAGTGTGAGAATCTGTGTGACTGTTTCAGTTTACAGTGAGAATCAAAAAACCTGAGGCATATATTCTCTCTTTTATAGTTAATGTTGTGAATACAGTGGTGCCTCACTTAGCGACGTTAATCCATTCCAGGAAAAACGTTGCTAAGCGATTTAATCGATTTAATCGCTAAGCGATTTTAAAAAGCCCATAGAAATGCATTAAAACGTGTGTATAGGAAGAATAACATAATTGGCATGGTCAGTTTATGATCAGCATAAAACGTATATACTATTTTCATTAGTAAACGTGGATAGAAAAAAATCATGGCAGCTGAGACAGAGCAAGAGGGCTGTGTGAATGTACCAAATCTAACTTTACAACATGGTGTAAGGATCTTTAGGTGTGTTGGTGTATTCTTAGGTATCTCACCTTCATGCAACTGCTCCTCTGGAATTTGTCCTTCGTGAAAGGTTAGCGCTTGTGACCACATGGCTGAGAAGGGAGGAACAAACTCAGTCTGCAACATAAAACTCAGATGTGGCTCCCCTGCTTGATCAGAGATTCTTATCGGGTCATTAACAGGTTGCCTTTTTCCGTGTTCCATTCCTTTGGTGACCACATCATTTAGTGTGACAGGAAGCAATGGTGCTCATTTGGGTCTCACGTAGCATTTTGAGGTTTTGCTAACCATACCCTCCCTCGCTCTGAAAAATGTGAAACTGTGCTTGGGGTGACGGAAGTCATATGTTGGGAACAGCTTGACTCTCCTCCCCAAAAGGCCACACCATCATGACATTGCTAGAATGGAGGACCAAAGGTTATAAAGGGGCCAGGGGACAATGAGATATAGGGAGGGGCATTGTGAGGAGGTTTCTTTCTCCCTGTCTCCTTCTAAACCCACTCGGAACATGGAGTTTATCCTCTCTTTAAGTCCTCTGTGCAATTTCATTACCACTGCTGCCAGTCAACCCAATCAATTTTCTTTTACTTCTTTGATAATATCATCTGTTCTTTGCATCCCAGGACAATATTCCTTTTTGCAATTCACCGTTAGCTTAATCGTTTCATATCATAGCAGCAGTTCAGTAAAGGGGAAAGGAGATTGGGAGAGGAGGCTTTTATAGATGGACGCTTGCAAGCTGATCTCCAGTGGACCAAATGTACCATTTGAAAGTTCTTCAGGACTTGGTACAAACTGGAGACAATCTCGTGGTGGTGGGTACTTGGAGCTGCTACCATATCTGGAGAAGATTGATCTTGCTTCATTTAACCATGCTGCAGTAACATCGATCATGTAACATACTCTTCATGGGGCTGATGCTGACGATGGTTCAGGAAGTCAAAAACAGCATTAAGGTCTCCTGTCATACAATAGTAATCATAATCTTTGTTAATTCTAATTCTAATTGTTTAAAAAATTGGCTTGGTTTTCATTTGGTACATAAATGTTTATAATTAACATTTTCATTGGTTCTCTTTGGATTTCTACCATCAGTATCCTTCCATTATCTGAGGCAAAAATTAGTTTTGGTTCAAGTTCTTTCTTTATATACATAGCCATGCTGCTCTTCTTTTTACTTATGTCTGAAGCTACAAACAATTCTGTACCCCTTACTCTATTCCTAGTTTTAAAATAAATTTTTAAAAAATTAAAAAATGATCTTGGTTCTTCAAGTATTCATCCTTTTGTAGCTATATGTACCATGCATATACAGGACAAAGGATAATAGGTATCACCAGGCTTTCAGAAGTACAGAATGCTTTAGAAAATGCAGAACCAAAGGTAGGGTGCCAGGACAGTCTCTCTACTCCCTAGTATTTTGTTTCCCTGCAATGTTGATCAACTCTTGGTTGGAGAGGAGGAATGTGATGGTTCACAAACGCAGCCATACAGGTAATTACTTTCAGGGCACTGCAAGCCCAAGGTCCGTGTGGAAAGCATTTGGTCTGGTAAAAGTTACCATTCCTATAAAATCTGGCAGGACACAAGATGTTGGTGTGGAATGGCATGGTTCCAGTTCCAGAAGAGTAGGGCCTTTTGCACAGAAGTACAGGGAATGTGTTGCTCTGGAAATAAGGCAGTTATTGCTGCTCAGCAGTCTAAATGTAAACTTGACTGATAAAGTATGCCATTCATTCTAATTTGGAACAGGTGAATGAGCAAAAAATTGTGGTGTGTGTGTATGTAGAGTCTGTATAGTTCTGTTAATAGCAAATGCCCTTTCTTTCTCCTTATACATGTTCTTTTTAAGGTGAACGACCTTTCCATTGTAACCAGTGTGGGGCCTCCTTTACTCAGAAAGGCAACCTTCTCCGCCATGTTAAACTTCACACTGGAGAAAAACCATTCAAATGCCACCTTTGTAGCTACGCCTGTCAAAGAAGAGATGCACTCACTGGCCACTTAAGGACACATTCTGGTAAGTGACTTCAAAAAATGACTGATTTTAATTTAGATTGAATAGCCAGGTTTTTCATTTCTCTCACAGCTTGTTTTCCAAGCCATTTGCCATCTGCATAGCTTTGAATAATCAAATGGTACCGTGAAAATGTAAGAAAGTCAACCAACTATACAAGGTTGATGAATGTCATTGATTCTGATGTGCTACACTTTTATAATGGGGGGTGAAGTCAATTCCTCAAACATTCTTATAAGCAATGAACAGAATTTACAACTAGTCATGATAATCAATAATGCATATTGCATTATATTTGTGGAAGTGAGACATCAGATGCTGCTTGGCTGAGCTACTGTAATTACAGGACAATGTTCAAAGGTGTAAGCATTCCTAGGTGTATGTCTGTCTCTTTGTCATGGTGCCACCAATGGACATTCTACCTTGACAAGAAACGTTCTCAATTCAGCTGAGATTAATGCAGGCTGTAGGGACAAGGGTAACTTTGAGGTGGACACTGAAGACTGACAAGAGGCAGGGTGCCAAGTAGAAGAGCTAAGGGCCAGGGAATCCTGAAACAAGAAAGTTCGACCAAGCATGCAAAGTAAATAGTGGACTAGACATCTGAGATTTTTGCAGCCCTTGCTTTGATGTGATTCATTCAGTAGCACGGCTGCGGGGATGAACATGGCCATGATTTTAAAAAGAGTAGCTGTGTGGTCCAAACAAAATACAAATGTAAAATTAGGCAATACTTTTAAAGACCACTAAAAAAAGTCAAACTCATGAATTGTATGATGATTTTTTAGTGGTCTATAAAGATATCGCCTATTTTTGCACTATGATTTTAAGACATAGTATGTTAAAAACAAGGTTGTAAATAGCAGGGAGAAAGATAATGGAAATTTTGTTTGCTCACTCATTTCTAGTGGAGAAACCATTCAAGTGTGATTTCTGTGGAAGGAGCTATAAACAAAGAAGTTCACTGGAAGAACACAAAGAGAGATGCCGGACGTATCTGCAGAATGTTAGCCCCAATGAAGCTGGTGAGCTCTTTGATCTTAATTGGGTGCAGGAAAATTCTTAAGTTCAGGAAGCTCCTGAAACAATGTCCTGTGAGGAAATGTTCCTTATGGCAATGGTCCCCAACCTTTTTGACCCCGCAGACCAGTTGGGGGGTCCGTGCACAAGGGGGCACCCTCATGCTCACAGGTGGGCAGGGCACACTTGCAGGGGGTGCTCATGCACATGTGTGGATGGGTGGGGTGCACTCGCGGGCAGGCGGGGCATCCTCGCACGCATGCATGGGTGGTGGGGCACCCGTGTGTGCGAGTGGGCAGGCCATGTGTGCATGTGGGCATGCGTGGGGGAGTGCATGTAGGAGGGGAGCGGGAGAACTGTCTCCATGGTCTGGTTCTGCCGAGGCCACGAACTGGCACCGGGCTGCAGACTAGGGGTTGGGGACCCCTGCCTTATGACATTAGTGTGAGAATCTGTGTGACTGTTTCAGTTTACAGTGAGAATCAAAAAACCTGAGGCATATATTCTCTCTTTTATAGTTAATGTTGTGAATACAGTGGTGCCTCGCTTAGCGACGTTAATCCGTTCCAGGAAAAACGTTGCTAAGGCATTTAATCGCTAAGCGATTTTAAAAAGCCCATAGAAACGCATTAAAACGTGTTTAATGTGTTCCTATGGGCTTAAAAACTGACCTTATGCGAAGATCCTCCATAGGGGCGGCCATTTTCAGTGCCTCTAAAGCGAGGCAAAACAGCAGGCGGCCATTTTGTTTTTCCGGTGGCCATTTTGGAACCGCCGATCAGCTGTGCAAAAAGGGTCGCTTTGCCATGATCGCTTCCCCACAATCATCGCAAAGCAATTTTTCCCCATAGGGGCCATCGCTAAACGATGATCCGGAGCAGTTCCTCTCTCTTGGCAGGAAGTAATGAGGGATTCTCTTTTTGAACATCAACAGTTTTATTGAACTTAACATTTGGTGAATCAATGATCACCTCAACCGGTTCTGATAAACTAATATCTGGTAATTGTCCATAATGAGGGGTCAATAAATTTGTCCTTCAATCAACATGATTTAAGAAGGGGCTGTTCCAAGCCCTTCTTGATCATTGGGTTTCCTCAGGCGTGCACTCCTCACTGCGCAGATGGTCCCACAGGAGAGATGTCTGGC